GGATCTTAACGTATATCGTCAATTCTTTTAGATTTGACCTATAGAATCTAAATCGCCCAAAAAATTGGAAATCGCACTCGTCTGGCGAAAGATATAGCGATTTTTGTGGTTTTCCTTTCATTACAATACAGTTTTCCAACCAATATTTTTTCATGACCTAAAGGGATCTTAACGTATATCGTCAATTCTTTTAGATTTGACCTATAGAATCTAAATCGCCCAAAAAATTGGGAATCGCACTCGTCTGGCGAAAGATATAGCGATTTTTGTGGTTTTCCTTTCATTACAATACAGTTTTCCACCAATATTTTTTCATGACCTAAAGGGATCTTAACGTATATCGTCAATTCTTTAGATTTGACCTATAGAATCTTAAACTCGCCCAAAAAATTTTGCGAAATCGCACTCCGTTCTGGGCGAAAGGATGATAGCGGTTATTTTGTGGTTTTTCTTTCAACTTACAATACCAGTTTTCCACCAATATTTTTTCATGACCTAAAGGGATCTTACGTATATCATACAATTCTTTTAGATTATTGACCTATAGAATCTACATCGGCCCAAAAAATGAGAATCGCACTCAGTTCTGCGAAAGAGACTATAGCGCATTATTTGTGGTTTTCTTTCATTACATTACAGTTTTCCAACAATATTTTTTTCATGACCTAAAGGGAATCTTAACGAATCATTCATTCTTTTAGATTTTGACCTATTAGATCTTAAATCGCCCACAAAATTGGAAATCGCACTCGTCTGGCGAAAGAATAAGCGATTTTTTTGTGGTTTTCTTCATACAATACGTTTTCCAACCAATATTTTTTTCATTGGACCTAAAGGGATCTTAACGTATATAGTCAATTCTCTTTAGATTTTGACCTATAGAATCTAAATCGCCCAAAAAATTGGAATCGCACTCGATCTTGGCGGAAGATATAGCGGTATTTGTGGTTTTCCTCTTCATTACAATACAGTTTTCCACATATTTTTTCATGACCTAAAGGGAATCTTAAACGTATATCATCAATTCTTTTAGATTTGACCTAAGATTCTAATCGTTCAAAAAATTGGATATATGGTACTCGTCTCGAGCGAAAGATATAGCGATTTTTGTGGTTTATTCTTTCATTACAATACAGGTTTTACCAACCAAATATTTTTTCATGGACCTAAAGGTGATCTTAACGATATAATCATTCAATTCTTTTAGATTTTGACCTATAGAATCTAAATCGTCCAAAAAATTGGATATATGGTACTCGTCTGGCGAAAGATATAGCGATTTTTGTGGTTTTTCTTTAATTACAATACAGTTTTCCAACCAATATTTTTTCATGACCTAAAGGGATCTTAACGTATATCGTCAATTCTTTTAGATTTGACCTATAGAATCTAAATCGCCCAAAAAATTGGAAATCGCACTCGTCTGGCGAAAGATATAGCGATTTTTGTGGTTTTCCTTTCATTACAATACAGTTTTCCACCAATATTTTTTCATGACCTAAAGAGATCTTAACGTATATCATCAATTCTTTTAGATTTGACCTATAGAATCTAAATCGCCCAAAAAATTGGAAATCGCACTCGTCTGGCGAAAGATATAGCGATTTTTGTGGTTTTTCTTTCATTACAATACAGTTTTCCAACCAATATTTTTTCATGACCTAAAGGGATCTTAACGTATATGGTCAATTCTTTTAGATTTGACCTATAGAATCTAAATCGCCCAAAAAATTGGATATCGTACTCGTCTGGCGAAAGATATAGCGATTTTTGTGGTTTTCCTTTCATTACAATACAGTTTTCCACCAATATTTTTTCATGACCTAAAGGGATCTTAACGTATATCGTCAATTCTTTTAGATTT